GTGTTGTGTGTGCTACGGGCCAAGCTGAGCAGCAGCTGTGTGTGAGTGTTGGATATCTCTAAAGGGTCAACACAGCTGTAAACGCCCTCCCGAAGGCCCTTCCCCCTCCCCTCCCCTCCCATCCTTTATCTCCCAACTTCCCCTAAACACACGATCATGTCCAAGTTGAGGACCAGGAGAACTCCGTCTCCCACGTCACCTCTCCCGTCCTTCTACTCCCCATTTGGGATTCTATCCCTCCTCCTCTCCCTCTGTCTCTCCCTTTCCCTCTATCCGCCCTCCTCATCGGCGGAGCAGACTGTGCCTGTCATCTCCACGGTGCAGGGCCGTATCCGTGGCATTCTGACCCCGTTGCCCTCCGACCTCCTGGGGCCCGTCATCCAGTACCTGGGAGTACCATACGCAAGGCCTCCAACGGGAGACCGGCGCTTCCAGCCGCCCGAGCCTCCTTTGCCCTGGCCAGGAATACGGAATGTGACGCAGTTTGCTCCAGTGTGCCCACAGTCACTGGATGAGAGGAGCATGCTGGGAGATATGATGCCGTCCTGGCTCACGGCTAACCTGGATATAGCTGCCACGTACCTCACTCACCAGAGTGAAGATTGTCTCTACCTCAATATCTACGTGCCCACTGAGGAAGGTGAGTGAACCCAAAGGTGTGCACAGACTCTCTGCAGGGTTAGAATTATAATGACTTGTTTTAGTTCATTCACATGTGAGGTCAGGACAGAGTGGCAACAAAGTGGCACTGCATAACCTAAGAATGACCGCAAGATGATTTTGAGGGTGACATGTATTTAAATATGGAAGTGTCCTGTAAGGTCACAGACAAATGCTTGTTGAATAAATAAATAGAAATCTATTTTTTAAACCTGGAGCCCATTCCCCTCCACCCCTCTTGTGGACGCCTGTGGTTGAACCAACATTTAATATGCAGACACCTGCGTCAGTCGCCAAGGGGTTCTCGCCTTTACTTGTGGAGGAAAGTGGGAAGGACACAGACTCACTCATGCATACATATTGGTTCATAGACATGCATGTGACCCCGCACACACACACGATGGCAAGCATGAGCACCCTCAAAGCCTCAATTTATATCCACCCACTGAGAAATGAAGGAAGGGAGATATGAAGCATAGGGAAGCAAGAGAGCCACAGACTTCCTGTTTTTGTATGTATAAACCCACCGAGTGATTAAAGGCTGAGATACATACAAATGGACAGGTGGACAGTCAAACAAACACACACACACTCACACACATGCACACACACACACACACACACACACACACACACGATAAGGACATTTGTTCAAACAACAGACAGAATGGAGGCAGAAGGAAGGTGGGTGGATCTTACACTCACGCACAAAACGTGATTCTGTATAGCACTGGCATCAGGTGCTTCAGTGATGTCACCTTGAACATTGGTTTGAACACAATGTCAGCCCAAATGTTGCTGCAAATATCTATCTATCTATCTATCTATCTATCTATCTATCTATCTATCTATCTATCCCTCCATCTATCTATCTATATCTATAATCCTCTGTCTCTCTCTCTCTCTCTCTCTCTCTCTCTCTCCCTCTCTCTCTCTTTCTCTCTCCCCCAGACATCCATGAGGAGGGGGGTCAGCGGCCGGTGATGGTCTACGTCCACGGGGGCTCGTACACAGAAGGCACTGGCAACATGATGGATGGCAGCGTGCTGGCAAGCTACGGCAACGTCATTGTCATAACGCTCAACTATCGCCTAGGAGTACTAGGTAAAAGGATATCTCTTCTATATCTAATAACTCTTCTATATTTTTGCAATTTGATGAACACCCCGGTCATTAACGGTAACATGACTGTATATTTGTTTAATATGGCTGTAGCTGCATTTCAAAATAACCCCCCCAGCCAATCCTTTTCTATTGAGTTATTCTGCAATAGAGATAACTATATCTTGACAGAGGCATGCCTTCTGGGCACATGCAACCAGGAGGCAATCTATAGTGAAACAGTCCACCTTTTAAAATGGCTGTATTTGTGCTTCAACACCACGCTCCACCTTTAAGCAAAAACAAAAGCAGTACAATTATTGTCCAGGTGCTCTGGGTATTCTGATAATATCACTGCGATTTAATGCACCCACTCTATGGTAATTTACTTTATTTTTTAGAAATGCAATGTACACTCATCTTTTGCATTTATGTAAATTGGGAATTTTTTCTTTTAAAAAATAGCAAAAGGATAGAAGTACCTGCTAGAAGACGAAGAAGCTAAGAGGAGGTGGTGTGGGTAGAAGAGATGTCCATTACAGTCAATCATTAGATCTCAAACTCCAGTTAGGTACTGATTAATGCTCACATATGATTTTCACATGTTTTTATAGAAAACCACAGTCAGTGTTGCTATTTCAATTCAGTTTTATTTTTTGTTTTGCTATGGGTTGTCAGGTTTTAATTGGGTGACTTATTTATGAGTAAAGTGCTATTAATGCTGTTTATTTTAACAATAATGATTTATCTGCAATTGTTCCTCACTTTGAATTTTACATATTTCTTTACACTTATATTATATTCACCATCTGGATTGTTTAATCCTTCAGCGAGCTATGCAATGTGAAAAACATTAGTGAGTTGTTTTCACCCAGAGTGTTCAGTATGGATGTCCCTAGTGGAAATAAACCCCCTGAAGCCATTTTTCCCACATTGACTCAAATCTGATCCTTTATACCTCCATGACTCTCTGACTCATTGCTCTCTGAACAGTGAAAATCTGATTCCCTGTGGTTTTTCACATTTTAGACAGCTATGCAAAGCACACAGGCTGAACAAATAGAATATCTTAGAATCCTGGTATTTAGGCTTTTTGCAGCTGTAATTCTAAATATGACAAAGCCTGAGCACGGTCACAGGGAGGGTGACATTGAAGGCATCATTTACTTTAGTAAAGAGTCGTTTGTGTGAGCACAACATAACTTCATATTGACTAAGTCAGATACACACGCTGCACATCACACCATTGGCTGGGTTAAATCATGTCCTCACTCTCATTAGGAGTTGCCCCTCTTTAATGAATCATTTGAAGAGATTCATTAAAATGTCCCAGGAGGTTAATAAAATGTGTGTATGCAGTATGTTTGAATTTAGCCTATTCAACAATATTACAAATTATATAATCTATATCCCATTATCCCTTTAATCTACTTGACTGTGTTGATTTATGTTACAGACAGTGACACGATACATGTAAGTGAATAAGGCTTTTGATAAATTCTATGTAGATTTATCAATTAAAATGTACTTCCTATAAGAGAGCAACAGTAAAGGAAAAATTCTTACAGCATTTGGCTGCGCTTTCCCTTAATTATTTAGTGCACTTACTTAGCTTACTACCTTTTTTATGCAGTTTTTATGGCACATTTAGATCATGTGAACACACACATCAAGTTAATACTGTATGAGAGATATTTCTCTCTCAGTGGGAAGGAGCATTCTGGGTTGTACTTTAATTAGTTGGAGCATGTTTATGAAAATGGAGTGGAGTAGATTTGTTCACATTATAAAAGGTTAAAACAATCAACAAAAAGTTATTGATTTGAGTTTATGATGTCCATTCTTTCTTTTCTGTATTTTAAAAGCTTTCAAGGCTTTTATTAGATATTGATTTTATGTGATAAATCTGCATCTGCTTTGTGGGTGAAACAACTATTTAATTCCGACCTTGGGGATAAAACAGTCGCTACAGCTGCAATCCTCATATCGAGCTAAACAAAGCCAATCCAACATGCTTCTTTTTTGTCTTCATCTCCATCCTCCAATACGATCATCACCATCACCATCATTCATCGTCACCACTAGCAGTGTCTTCCTCTTCTTCTTCCTCATCATTGTCATCATAAGTTGGATGCATGAGGTGAGCCCATATATTCAAAGGGAATCTTATTGTACACTGCTGGAATTGGGGCATGTTTTCAAATGAAATGATTGAAATTGATGAAACTGAAAAATATGAAAGTACATTTAATATATATACGAAGGCATTCTGAAACAGTTTTTACAACCACATTTTTATAATTTACTTATAATGTCCGTTTTGCATGAAATTAATTTCTGATAAATTTCACACGTGATGAAATGTATAATTTTAACGGCGTCGCCTTTCTTGCTCATTATACTCTTGCAGTCTGTGTTCAATACCAGCTTGAGGTTCAGAGAATTAAGCTTCTGCAGCAATGAGATATACCGTAGTGGAGTGAGCCATTAGGATCCTCTTTGTTTACACACCGTCAGCACCGTCAGCAGTAAAGGGAATAAGGGATAGCTGCGTTGTAACCGTATGTGTGCGCTTAGGTTTGTGTTGAGTTGTGTGTAAATTGATTTTGCCTTACATGATTACGATTGTACCTTGTTGATTTAATCCAGTTTGCAAGGGACTGTAGGGGAGGCCCATCATTTTCATTAACATCTCTTCTATGATGATAAAAAGTATTAAAAAAAAGCATTTTTAATCATGCATTAATTAATCAGTGGAGATGCCATGATGTAGGAATCACCTCCCTGTGTGTTTGTACATTGTAAGATGACTTTCCAAAAAGCCAGGACAAACCTCTTTTGATCGACAAATTATTTATACAGTTTTCTCAATTCTCAGTGCGTTTTTTAAATTTCACAAGTCGTTGAACTTAAGTACTATGTGTTCTACTGTGTGTAATAACAATATCTCCCTCTCTGTCTGCCTGTAGGATTTCTTAGTACAGGTGACCAGGCGGCAAAAGGAAACTACGGCTTGCTGGATCAGATCCAGGCTCTGCGCTGGGTGAAGGAGAATATCGCAGCCTTCGGAGGAGACCCAAGCAGGGTCACTGTGTTTGGATCGGGGGCCGGGGCCTCGTGCGTCAGCCTGCTCACCTTGTCTCACTACTCTGAGGGTAAGGAAGAACCATGGACAAAAACTCTGCTCACCTTGTGTGTTTTTATCAGTTTAACTTACACGGCACTGTTCTGAAAAGGACTATAGGCCGATAGACTGTTGGGCACCTATGATAGTTGGCAGCCAGGTGGGTGCTGTGAAAGCTGTGACACTCATGGTTATGAAACCTTTCATGGTCTCCAGTGGACCGATACAGCTTTCATTTACTGGTAGAAATGCCTGAATAAGCCTTTGAATTCTCTGAATAATACAGCCTGCCTGTGACTCATATAGCTAAGAGCTGTATTATTTTAAACTGTTAACCCTTACCTACTTAAACCAGATGCTCTAACCATAACCCGTCATCCTTTTGAATAATGCATATCTGTGAGTTCACTGTTTTCTTGCTGTGGGAATAGTTCTGCATCTGTTTATGTATGCAAATGTAGCGTGCAATCATATGGATGCATTCATGCATGCGTGCGTGGGTGCATAAATGTAAACATGTGTGTGCCTCAGTGTATAGGGTTCTTACACCCATATTTGTATTTATGTGTGTGTGTTCATGTGTACCTCAGACCTGTTCCACAGAGCCATCATCCAGAGCGGCAGCGCTTTAGCCAGTTGGGCTGTCAACTACCAGCCAAGCAAGTACGCCCGGCAGCTCGGTGAGAGGGTGGGCTGCGGCATCGACGACAGCACCCAACTGGTTGCCTGCCTTCAGGGCCGGAGTTACCGCGAACTTGTGGAGCAGAGCATAACGCCGGCCAAATATCACACGGCGTTTGCCCCGGTGATTGATGGTGATGTTATACCGGATGACCCCCAGATTCTGATGGAGCAGGGAGAGTTTCTGAACTACGATGTGATGCTGGGGGTTAATCAGGGCGAGGGCGTGAAGTTTGTGGAGGGCATTGTGGACTCAGAGGACGGTGTCACGGCTGAGGACTTTGACTTTGCAGTGTCAGACTTTGTGGATAGTTTATATGGATACCCAGAAGGCCGAGATACGCTGAGAGAGAGCATAAGGTGAGTGCCTCTGTAAATGTCTGAATGTATTTAAGGAATAGTTTGAAGAAAGAAAAAGAAAATAATGAAAAAGTTTGACATTTTGCCCAGAGTTAGATGAAAAAAATGATACCACTCTCATGTCTGTTTGTTAAATATGAAGCTATAGTCAAGAGATGGTTGGCTGACAAGACAGACAACAGCTAGCCTGGCTCTGTCCAAAGGTAACTAAATCTACCTGCCAGTATCTCTACAGTTTACTGATTAAAATGTTATATCTCGTGACTTTGATCGGTACACAGACCACGGTGTAAAATTGACAATTTGTGGTATTACATGGGGTTATGTTGCTGGGCTATTTCTTGACCGGGAGTAGTGACATCCTTGAATCTTGGTGTCAATTTTCTCATCTAACTCTTGGCAAGAAAGCCAATAAGTATATTTATCAAACTATTCCTTCACATGGATGTTTAAAATAATTGATTTACAAATATACGTATTCCCTTATTCACTTTAATAACAATAGATGTGTTAATAGATTCGTTGATAGCTAACTTCAAATGTGTACACTAAAGGTTCATGTACACGGACTGGGCAGACCGTGACAATGCAGAAACCCGGCGGAAGACTCTGGTAGCGCTATTCACAGACCACCAGTGGGTAGCGCCAGCGATCGCCACAGCTGACCTCCACGCTCAGTATGGATCCCCCACCTACTTCTACTCCTTTTACCACCACTGCCAGAGTGACGCCACGCCACCCTGGGCTGACTCCGCCCATGGTGATGAGGTAAATTGATGTCAAAGTGTTGTTTTGCTTTACAGAAATTACATTAGTGGTAGTGGTAGTGTGGGGAAAGTAGTGGCACAGAACATGATATGAGTCATCAAGGAGAGGAGTAAAGATAAGATTTTGGTTTGGGTACTTCAGACCGAGACAAAAATGAAGGTGACTAATGTCCCAAAGATTTTAAAAATACGAATGTGATGAATCAGGAGCTCTCGGTCTAGATTAACCGTGAAGTGCTGCTTCATATTGATTTGTTCAAAGTGCTTAATAAGTGGAATCAAGCAATCCTCTACAGCACAAAATACTTGAAATGTTCATGAAATGTATTTTGCTGCAGGTCTGATTTAAAAGCTTATATTTACCACTGTGATGATGAGTCTTTTCCTCTGTACCTAGTAACAAAGTATTTGTACAGGTGTACACTTGCTTGTGTTATACACAGCGCAGTAAATGTGCATGCATTTGTTGTTGGTGTTTGTGGGGGTAGATTTCACTCCAGATGATTGGGGATGATTTATCACACTGAATATGGATTTAGTGACTTCAGGTTCACTGCAGTTACACATGAAGCAGTATTTGTATTTACAATTAATGTAATCTGTTGGCTCCTATTGTACACTATCCTAAAATGTGTGTCTGCATGTCTGCATAGGTGCCCTACGTGTTCGGCGTGCCCATGGTGGGACCCACTGATCTGTTCAACTGTAACTTCTCCAAGAACGACGTGATGCTGAGTGCCGTTGTCATGACTTACTGGACCAACTTTGCCAAGACTGGGTGAGCTATTAAAATGTTCACTGATGTGAGACATTGGTTTCGGTTAGCAAATCCCGCTGAGTAGAGTTTTTCCCCTTTTGCCTGACTATACTGCATAAAGACAATCAAGAGAACAAGAACAAACAAAGCACAGATTCAGCATGACTCAGTTCTCTTTATTTCTGCCTTCTTAGACACAGAAAAACCGTTTCTAATTTCTGCTATCGATACCTTATCCCCTCCCACATGTAGAAAATGTCTCATGATAACTGATGAAAGCCAGGCCAATTAATTACATTTTAAAACATGAAAGAAAATGCACAGTTGTCAGTAAGACATTATCCTCCATCTTGGACGCGCTGCAGAGACAAGGTTTTGGCAACGCAGACTGTTGTTGCTGTAACTGTGGACAGCTCACTCTCGATTTTACAGGAACAAATCTCCTCCAGGCTCGAAAAAAGACAGCCAAGACTCAAGTCTGTGGTGTCATCAAGATAAACAGCATAGTGCCTCTCTCATACGTTTTCTTTATGTGTAATTTGTTGGACTGATTGGTAGTTAACATGAACGTGGGCATGGAGTGTAGTTATCTGGCTGGGTTCACACAAAGAGAGGTCAATCAAAACCGCACAACATCGAGGAGACGATAGCATTAAGTAAATGTATTTCTCACAAATGACGCATTGAGTAAATGCAATGGTGCCAATTTGTAGGAATTTGTGCAGGAAACAGATCAGCCTGTATCCATTTCTCTATCATTTTTTCCCTATCAAGATAAGTAACATTTTAATGGCATAGAAACAAAAGTTTTTAAGAAATACTGGGTTTCATTTGAAATGGAAGTTTGAACTGAGTGAAGCTGAGATTTAATGACGCATGAGAGGAAAACACCTGAATTTCAGAGCAACAAAAATAATGAGCTGACAGACAAAGTATATGTTACTACGTCTTTTCTTTCAACTGGTCTCTGACGTCTGACGAGAAGACTTTAGATACAATCATGAAAGCAGCACTGCAGACAAATTTTGGCAGAGGGTGCACACAGGTTCTCTGTCATGTCAAAACCTCCATGTTGCTTGTCTTCCTTGGGCCTTGGCTGAGAAAGTAAAAGAAGCCCTGCTATAGAAAAAGACCTTGAGGAACGCCACGGTCATGTCATAAAAGAAGAATGACAGATTGGCCACTGTTTGATTAATCTTCTCTTCTCTTCTGTTCTATTCTCTTTTCAACTTGAATTCAATTAAATTCAATTCATTTTAATTAAATTCAATACATTACAATTCAATTAAATTCAAGTCAATTCAAGGGCTTTATGGGCTTTTTAAAAACAATTTTACAAAAGCATCATACAAGAACAACTACAGCAACTACACATTGATCATATATGAATACAATACACATAGATACAATACAATATATATATCATCAAAACGGTCCGAATATGTGTGCGTGTGGGGATGTGTGTTAATAAGTCACTATATGTCAAAAAACCTTTTCACATTTAGTGATGTTTTAATTTTGTGTCCCTCAGTTTGTGACATGCAGTCACATGCTTCTGTCATAATACAATCTGTTGTTTTTCACTCATTTCTTAAAGTATTCCACTCTGATATTATTACATTAGTCACATTTTTAGAGGAAGAGGATCTCAGTCTCTACTTCACCTCCTCTCCTCTTCTCTCCTCTCCTCTTCTTTTCTTTTCTCTTCCCTCTTTCAGCACACTCATTCAGTCATGATCAAAACTGGTGCAATGATACAAAGAGCTTATTCAATACATTAAATCAAAATTAAAATTATCTGCCAGTGGCTGAAAAAGCTTCTAGATATCCAATTTATTAAATTGAAAGTGAAATGATCTGCCAGTAGCGAAGAATACTACAGTTGTAGAAAGGATCCACATTAAAACTTTAAGAACCCCGACAGTCCACTCTGATAAGAGCACCTTTTATCTCTCCACTCTGACATGATATACAAGATAAAAGTAATTGTTGAGGATGGACCCTCTTTCTGCAGTGCTTGAAGTGAGTAATTACCAGTAATTAATCCAATCGAGGCTCACTCCACTGAGACTTCTTCAGATTTACAGAGACATCTGCGGTCCAGACCTTGATCTAAATCACCATAGCGCCTTGCTATCTCACAACATACAAAGTTAGGACTGCGCTTGTACATATTTTGACTCTGACATTTAAATAAAAGTCTTTAATGCAGGTGCATTAAGGCAATCATATTGCATCAAGTTAGCTGTCTCTTGCCCGAAGCCTGTGTTGTGATTGCAGAGCAAAATCACTGTGGAGGGTTGTTAAAATTTCAGTGCGCACTTCAATTATCAATGGGGAACTTTCTCTGGAGAAAGATTTCACCCGGTTGAGAGCACCTCAGATGCTGATGGAACTCTGCAACAGCTCAATTTAAGGGAGAGGATATGATGCTCCCTGATGTATATTTTGTAAGTCGCTGTGTATAAATCTTCCGCTCGCGTGTGTGTTGCTGGGTCTTTACCCTAGCTGCCTTTTTGTACCGTTCATAAGGTGACGATTGACAAGTGAGCATATAGCGTGTAACTGGCAAGTCTGTGAAGATGTGCCGCCCTTTCATTGACGTCTTTTCTCGCTGCTGACACAAATAAGTCGTAAATTGTCAAATAAATTCCTGTCCGTATGTGTCACAGAGGTGATTTTTCAGTATATATTCACGATGCAACACACACATCCACCTTAAATCAGATATCTGACAGTCTTTAGAGCGGCAACTATCCACACACAGCTGCAGCAGTTTCATCCGTGCATTATATAACTGAATTGTTTTGTAACGGACATATTAAGTGAACAAAAATCAATGATCTGCAACTGAATCACCTCTGAGCTATATGTTTACCGGAAAATGAAACTTGTTTTGCTTTTTGCAAATATTTCTTGCCACAATTTTGTCTTTTGTTGCTTTGATATTGATTTAGAAAGATGTGTGCCAGCTCTGATGAAATTATTGGACAGCATTAGAGAAAGTCATATCTCTAGAGGAGGGTAGGCAGCTGGGAAAAAGTCTTCAGCAGCTCCGTTAGCAGTCTCGGGCATCTGCAAAACTTAAAAGCATTTATGGTATTTATGGTAGAACACACAATCATTGCACTACAATCCTGTATTTTTAAAATATGACCCTTGATTGTAAATATGTGGGTAGAAACTCTGTATTATCTCTCTCTCTCTCTCTCTCTCTGTATCTCTCTCTCTATATATATAAGCAACAGTACATAACCACCAACCGATCCAGAATAACTCATTGTGTTTTACTCTTTCTAGTGACCCAAACCAGCCGGTTCCTCAAGATACTAAGTTCATCCACACTAAACCTAACCGTTTCGAAGAAGTGGCCTGGTCTAAATACACCCCTAAAGAGCAGCTGTATCTCCATATTGGCCTGAAGCCACGTGTCAGAGACCACTACCGTGCCACCAAAATCTCCTTCTGGCTCCAGCTGGTCCCTCACTTGCATCATGTCAATGAGCTTCTCCAGTCGGTGTCCTCCTTCACGCACAGTCCCTCTCCACAGGATGACACTCCTTATTCTTACACTAAGCGTCTGGCCAAAGGCTGGCCGCCTAGTAGCACACGTCATCCAGGTTCACAAGGAGGTACTCCACAGCCGCCAGAGTCTGCATTAGGCCAAGGTGGAGCGGAAGACGGGGTCCGCGTCCCTCCTGAGGACTACTCAACTGAGCTCTCAGTGACGATCGCGGTGGGAGCTTCACTGTTGTTTCTTAACATCCTCGCGTTCGCAGCACTGTTGTACAAGAAAGACAAGAGGCGTCTGGAGCATCGTCGGCCACGTCCACTTCCTCCCCCAAGACGAGACATCACGCCTGCAGATGTCGCTGCCCACCTGCAAGGGGAGGGACTGATGTCATTACAGGTGAGTCGTGTGTTTTTGTATTCATTGTGCTTGTGTGTGCATTTTCTTTTTACCGTCACTGAAGCAAATGTGTGGAGTTTCTGTGTGCTTCTGTAGCTACATTTAATTTGTAGTCAAAATAATCAATTCTTATTGTTAATAATTGCACACATTAATATAATATATATTTTAAGTATGTAGCCAGTTGAGGTTGTCACTGAATAAACTACTTTGTTGTCAGTGGAGAAGCTGCCAGTAGAGTAGAACACAGTCATCTGCAGACATTATCAGTGCAAGGATGTGTGTGTTTGTGTGTGTACGTGTCAGTTTGTTTTGATGCATGTGCGTGTGAGAGCCGTGTCCAACTGCCTCAATTGCTTCCAATTCATCTACTGACTATTTGGCCTCTTCTGAGCTCAGTTAATGGCTTTGAAATCTCCCATAGTGAGTGCTAGATGTCAGAGCTTTTATAAAGCAGACAAATACTGTTAATTGTCAATTGAACCACAGTAATGTAGCTTGACATTGCAGCCGCTTTTATAATTGTATTGGATTATTGGAAATATCTTTGTGTGGTGTTTTGAGCTTTTTGGGCACCACCAGTAGACCTGACGTGACGAGGAATAATCAGATCTTTTTGTATCAGCATAGCTTATTGTTATGCAATATATGCTTGCTAAATGAAAATGATTGAAAATAAGTCAGGAGTGGTTTAAATGATGATGACAGATAGCAGTGATACAGTTTGATTTGATTGACTGAGGATTGAACATCTTTGCGATTTGAACTGTTGAACGGTTAGATGACATGTGATCTTGGGCTTTGGGAAATGATGATGACGTTTTATGTTCTAAAAATAAATAATTGTTTAAATAATTGAAGAAATTAATTGGTAGATTAATAGATAAATAGAAAATACTTCGGTTTCTTTCCCTTTGCTTTATCTCCTGACATTTCTCCACCGTTCAACCTTTTAGGTGAAGCAGCTGGAGTGTGATGCTGCATCAGCAGATGAGAGGAACAACACTCATCACCATCACACTCTGGATACGCTGGACGCCCTGGACGGCATGGACACCCAGGACATCTACAGCACACTGGACACCGTACGCCTCACCTGCCCGCCCGATTACACCCTGACCTTGCGCCGCTCACCTGACGACGTCCCCCTCATGACCTCTCTGACCCCAGGATCACTGCCTGTGACTCCTGGGTCCCACCCTGTTACCCCGGCGACGCCGATGACCCCCATGACGCCTGGATCAGTGGTGGGGATGAGGATGGGGCATCCGCACCAGGGATACACACACCATAGCCCATATAGTAATACACACTTGCCACACACGCACATCTCCACGCATACACACTCCACCACACGTGTATAACTGCAGCAAGATACTTGCACACATAAGGACATAATTACAACACATACACTCATACCAACACACGCACAAACACAGACACGCAAACACACACACACACACACTCACTCACACACATACGCAAAACAAAAGACTTAAATACCTCTACTAATTACCCTGCAGGATTGTTTCAGATGGAGTCACAGAAAGACATTTTCAGTAACAGGATGAAAAGACAGACAGCTGTGTGTTGCATGTCGGGAACTAAAGACAAACTGGATCCCGGGAGATGCAGTTCTATGCATCACTTGCTCATAACCTTGAACGAAATGAGCCAAGGCATCCATCAAATGTCTCAAAACCTGCTTTGGATATTATATCTTCTGCTTTTTCTACACCAGAGGAGGAAGAGGAGGAGCGCTGTGGCAAAAAGGGTCAGTTATGGATCAGTTTACATCTCCTACTGTACCTGTGCTGCACGCTGAGGCAGTGCTGAGACTGATCAGAGCACATGCAGATGCAGATGCAGATGTAGATGCAGAACTCAGCTAAGAAGTACCACACACACAGACTGCTGATGTCAACTTGAACAACCTGTGAAATGTGAATGTAGCATTTTTTTTTCCATTAAAAGATCAAAGGCCCTATCTGCCGAGGATCAAACTAAGCTGAGGAGAAAATAACAAATTTCAGAAAGAGATGGATGTAAAGAAAGACAGAGAGGAAAAGGGGATTGGAAAAAAAAAAACATTAGCTGAAGGAAAAGTTCGTCAGAAGGTGGGAAAGAGATTAAGATTTTATTGAGAGGGATTTAACAGCTGTGAGAGTGAGAAAGATGAAGTGAGATAGAGTGATATGGAAAACACAGAGATGGGAAGTGTGCCAAGAGACAGAAATTAGCTTCACAGATGAGAGGGCCTCTAAAGTGTTGTCAGATTTACTGAAGAATCACTCTAACCAGCTATGTGTTAAACTCTTGTAAATAGAATGGAAAGGTACAGATGATATATTATGATTTATAGCATTTACCTGCTGTTGCATTAAAACATGACTTATTTAACCACATAAATGCTTTCATTTCAGATATTACTATATTATTGTATAGGTGTCCTGAAGCAAGGCTGGTTGTCTTTCTATCTCACCCACTGTAGTATGTACACAGTACCTTTATTTAAAGGCTATATTTGCTATGCACAGTCATTTCAATAAGTCTTAACTGTGTAAACATCTTGATACTTGTTTAGTAGTTGAAGTATAGGCCATTTTCACACCATCTACTGTTGTTTGACCATCTGATGATAAGCTAGTACTGTGTAGATAATGCAATATTGGTTTGATGATTGAGCACCAGCCAAAAACCATGACCCATTAATCCCTTCCCTTTCTCCTTTCCCCCTCACTCCTAAAAGTTCTCTTAGAGGCCTTACCCTTAATTCCTAATAAACCCAACCTTAATTAATGTCTCTGCAGACAGACAGGTGGTGATGATTCAGGAGGTTCAACGTCACAGCGTGTCATCAAAAAGTTGAGAATGCTTTTTATTTTTCGTGTTACATTTTACCAGGGCCCCCAGTAATTATAGAAGAGCCCCTGCTTGAACTACCTAATGCTGACTGAAACCTTGTTTAACTAAGAATTGTTAAAGCTTAAAATTTCTCCACAGTGTCACCCTATAATCTGTATAAAGAAACGTGAGTCTGTCACCTTCATTTGAAAGCCTGGAGTTTGGTTTACTATCTGCCACCATGTTGTCAATTATTCGGAGCCAAATTTGATTAATTAGCAGCAGCCTGGGTGGAGCTGAGGAGGGATGATCAGCGTGCCTTTGCTTGATAGTTTGACTTGACATTGAAGGCAAACACAACTCCAAACTTACCGTCCCCCCCCCCCCCTTTAATATCCTCTTATTAATGGAGCTATATTTTTTTCAAATTGCCACGTACATATGCTTTAGAAGAAGTGAAATGAATTAATAAAAAGCCACCACCAACATGTGACAATAATGATTGATTTGATTTCAGAAAGAAGCTGGAGGTTTTCCTGCTGACTTCACAGCGAGTGCTTGAGGGCGGTGGTGGTTACTGCTTTGTGTCATCATAATGAGATTTGCATTATTCAGAAAATCTATTTCAACCAATTCATATTGACAATTCATGCGCCAGAGATGTGGTACTGTCATGGCTGCCATTAAGAAAAGACAAATGGTCAAACTCTGTCTATGTGAAGATAAAAACCTTATAAGTCAACTAAACAAGAAACCCGAAGTCCCAAACCTTGATCCTAACCGGTAACTTAACCAAAGGCCATAACCCTGATATTGTAACTTCCCTGTTTTATCCTTTCCCCCCGCTCTTTCCTTCCCCTAACCCCATCCACCCCCATCCTGCCCCCCCTCCCAGCCTCATCTGTGTGACGTCATGCCGCTTTGTCGCAGTGTGGCCTATTTAACCTCCTCTCATCCTAAGTAACTTCTTCATGAGAGATTTTAGTTAATTGTCAACAGAATACATCAACAATGAAAGCCGAACAATTTGTGGATGACAAGCAAAGAACTTTTACAAAATGATATAAAAATAACATTTAATGTATGTTTGATTGACTGAATATTTTTTTCATATGGGTTTATTGACTCAGCGGATGGCTGGATTGTGTCAAGCATAAAACATTTTTGCTGCATTTTTGAAAAATAAAAATATCAGTATTTTACAATTTATGAGCATTTTAAATGTCTTGTATGTCTTAATTCAGAATATTGTTCTTAGGATTGTATAGGAGATGTGGGGGGCTTAGCTAATTGCATCCTCTATTTTTAGTATTTAAAGTGATTCCTTAACACAGAATTTGGCAAGTAATGCACAGTACACATATGAAATTACCAGTGATATTGTTGTTCTTTTGTTTAAAATTAGTATTTGGGTTTTGGTTATCAAAAATTTTCATTTTCAAAAAAGTGGTAGAATTTACACTGATCCTCAAAAGGTTTTTAGAGAATAATTTGCTTTCTTGTGATCTATACGCTGAATCTGAAGCTATAGCAGGACGGTGTGCCTGGATTAACAATTAAGAGTGAAAGAAGAGGGAAAGTAGATAGTCAGGTTCTGTCTAAAGGTAACAAAATAATCCACCTACCAGCACAATTAAAGCTCACCAATGAATTATTATTAATTAAATATTGTTTTTGCACAAACAACAACAAAAATAGTGGTTTTGTGTGTAGTTATGTGCTGAAATATTTCTCGGCTGGGATTAGTGACTTTCTGCAGTCTCCAATCATGGTGATAACAAGACCCCAGGAAATCACTGCTCTCAGCCATGAAATAGTTGTAGTCCATATTCCTTGTAAAACCAACATTTGTACACTTTGGTTTTGTGTATTTTGATAAAACATTGTAATTTTACTAGTGAACCTTCACTTTTTTTGTTCTTTCCCACTGCTTTCAGTCTTTATGCTAAGCTCATCGGCATGCAGGCTGTAGCTTCATATTTAGCGTACAGACATGAGTGGTATAAATTTCCTCATCTAACTCTCAGCAAGAAAGTGAATAAGCTTCTTCCCCAAAATGTCAATCTATTCCTTAAGATTTAAAAGCAATGTCAAAATAATTCTATATGGATTATCTTTACCTTTGCTATATAGAGCATATGTTGTGCAATTACTTAAGTCCTTACTGCAGCAAAATAGGGAGATTTTTCTGTAAATCATTGGGACCAGAAGCCCCTGCCAGCTGGCCAAGGAGACCCTGTGAGATGTGAAATGAATGGCTGACTTCCAGACCAGATTGATGTCTCCTACAGTGTGTCCCCGCTCTAATCCCATTAACTAGATATAACTGCAGTTAATTAGATTAATGGCCGGCAACACTTTAGAAAGCATGAGTTCAAGTCGCGACCAGGTGTTTTTTTGTTTGATGTCAGCGTGTGCAGAAAGAGACCTCAGAAGCCAGAGTAAGTTGCTCAGAACTGAAAAATCTGTCTAACATTGACATTTCAATTTGACATTTCCAGAACCACGGCCTACCTGGTGGACTACTTTTTACTAAATCAAAAGTCACTTCGGCAAAAAAACACATTTTCCGACAGTTTAATTGAACATATTTGTACCTTGGCTTTCTTTTGAATGGTGGCAACATGATTGAGGTTATTTCAGCAGGATGTGTTTAACTCTAGAGGTGGTGAAGTCCATCTGCTAAGTGCAGCCCAGTAATGATGTGTGTACAAAGGTGTGTGGGGATTGGAACATTTTTACAGATCCTGACTAATATTTAAAAACTGAATGAGAAGCATATGGAGACTATTTCAAGATATTTGGTAGCATTTGATAACTGCTAAATCTCAAACATTTACTGTTTGAGTGTTTAGTTATCTTGTCCACATCACGTGATATGCTGTAATGTGATATGGGGGGGGGGGGGGGGGGGGGGGGG